TGTATGATCTGTATTATTAATTATTGGACTATGCAGAGTAGTATCAAATAAGCCTATTAAATTGCAAAGTTTTATCATACTTTGTATGGAATAATTGATGTTTATATTTAATATTTTAATTATCAATTGTTGGTTGTATGGATTAGTTGATATTTACTTTCATTATCTGTATTATCAACTACTGGATGTATGGATTGTATGCACCGGTATGAGACGGTGGCATACTAGGGACGGATTAGTTTCAAAATACTACATCCGACCTATACTGGAATAAGGGAATGGATTATAAGATTAAATCCTACTTATATGTAAGTCTGTGTAGCTAAACAAGTTGAACGGCTAACTGGATTTCTTATGGATGGATATGATAGGACTTTAAATATATTTTTATGGTATCGCGATATGAGCCTGAGTCTCAGAGTCGACGGTTAAAAAGCGTATACGCAGTAGGATGCGTAGCTGGTTATGTTGGTTGAGATATACACTGTTAGGTTTAGGTACTCATGCCCACTCATGTGCGTTTTGCATGTTGCCTTTTATTCAGGTTGAGACTCTCTACATAGTCCAGTGAAAGTCCCGTAGTGTGGATATATATATGTACGAACTACATAGTTATTGTTGAGTTGTTTAGGATATACATGCGTATCGAGTCTCTGTTTAGATTGTAGTAGGATAGAACTTGTTCGTGTGCCTGACCCACTTCTATTTTTAGGTGTTCGACAGTTCCAGTCGTAGGCCTTATCGTGCTGAGCAGAGACAGTCACTCATTCCTCCGACAACGTAGGATCTCATTTCATGTCTTGGCTTTGGATTCTAGTTCAGTTTTATCTTTCCCGTTTGGGATATTTTTAGGGGTCCACTAGATGGATTCCCGAGTTGTTATCTTGGAGGTTTTGGATTGTCAGATTATTATCATTATTTAGTTTTAAAGGTTTTGGCAGTTTTGGGATTTTAGTTATTTAATTTTTTAAGGATTATATTTTAGATTTCTTTCAGCTTTTAACTATTTATTTCTTAATTCATTTTTTTATATGTGTTCATTTAAAATACTTTAATTGTTTGATATTCCCTCGGGTTTGAGTTTGGGCCTGATCAACCCATGTCTCGGAGTCGAGGGGTATCACATTGAATGTTCAAAATATCAATGTAAAATAATTGGCCAAAATGAAAACAAATAATACAGGCAGAATTTTTAAACCTATAGTCCAGACACTTAAAGGTAATAAGCCTGTAAATGAATATTTGTACTATAATGAAACGAGGGAAATTAAATTACAAAGCACGACTGGTAGTACAAAGTTTCTCTCAAATACCTGGTATTGACATAAGGAGACATATTCTCCAATAATGGATTTAATCACATTTTTATTTTTACTTTGACAAATTCTGTTAGTTGAATATGCAGGTGCAAGTTATCTTTCTGAATCCACATAAAGCTCGATCACAAACAAGATATTGATTAACTTGTAGCAACACTACTATATCAAGGTGATTTATGGAGCAAACAATAAATTACAAACTTCTTTAAATCACTTTAAGATACTCGCAATTCATGAAGCAAGCCGAGAGGTGCATGTAGTTGAGTTCTATGGTATGACATTCAAGAAACTGATGCACGATATTAAAACTCAAAGATTTTCCATGATGAAGTAATGTAACAAATATGCATATAAGGGGGAGCAATGATTAGAAAGGTATGGTATACTGTACTTTTTTTCCTTTGCTCAAGTTTTATCCCATCGGCAAGGTTTTAATGGGCAGTTTAACCTATGCAATACCATTTTCACACACACAAGAATATTGTACTCTTTTTCCTTTACTAGATTTTTATCCTACCAAGTTTTTTCTAGCAAGGTTTTAACGAGACATTTTCTTAGTGTAGTATTGTGAACGCCAAGGGGGAGTGTTATATATTAATATGGGGCCCACAATTATAATATTATATATACAAATTGTAGGCTTGCAATTTTCTATAGCAATGATTACTTCGTGGAATCAAGATTGGTTTGGTAATGCAAGTGATGGGTCTGATTGGTTTGGTGATACAAGTGATGGAACCATTAGACAACCACCTGATTGGAGCAAGATGAAGGCACCGAAATCAAAAGCAAGCAACAGAGGCGGTGCAATTCATCTATATATATGTGTGGTAGTATGTTGTATTGAGTAATCTTTCTAAGTAATGAAACTTCTTTTTGGGTAGGTCTTTGTATATGTTATATTACACTTCTTTCTTTGATAGGTCTCTCAATATATTTATTTATATATAAGGAAGGGATATTCACACTCCACTTATTTACACTTACACTACATTCTTAAATGAAAGGACACTTCTATCCCTAATTTTATAAATAAATAATTTTTTTAAAAATACCACCCTTTCAGTTATGGAAAGATATTTTCGTCTCCCCCTATCTCTCCCCAATTAACATTTCTATCTTCTTCATTCAATTTAGGTATTGTAAAATTATGTAGCCACATAGCTACGGACTAAATATCAATTTCAGAAACGAAAAAAGGGGAAAAAAGAGAGAGATTGATAATAGCAACCTAAATGACAGAGAAAAAACAAGTTGCAGTTAATAAAATGCATATGATATGTGGAAGAAATAAATGTTACACTCATTGCCATTGAATTAGAGTGGTGTGTCAACATCTCTTCTTTTTTCATTTTACTCTCTTATTAGTCTCCTCCACACACGCACAATGTCTTACCATCTTTTTTGGTCAATAATTTTCATCATTTTGTCACTGAATTTAACACTAATCCATCATTCTAATAATTTTAGTTGTGTAAATTATCTTCTCATAAAATTAAGGAGGTTGCTCAGAGTGTTTTAATTAAGTACTCATCAAGCCTTAAGGATCTCAACAAGGCCTTACTTCATCCGGCCCTCACCGAAATCAAGAGGAAGCAGCTTAGATGGAGGACGAGGTTGAAAGGCTTCAGATGTCCATCTTCAAAGAAAGTTTGGAGACTCTGTTCTTACCTTTGATTGTTAAAACTGGGTCACTAAAGTTCAAGAATGTCCATTAGAGATACATATATATTTCTTTCAATTTCCAATTCATATTATCCTCTTTCCACATAGGCCTCCTTATTTAAAGCGTAAGTAATATGCTGTGGAAATTGAAAAAAAAAAAATATATATATATAAAAGTGAAGAAATATTTGAAAACAAAACCCTAATCGTAATATGGATGTGTATTTGAGAGCAAAAAAAAATATTTTAGACCATATCCAAGGAAATCATATCACCTCCTTCAAAAATTTAATTAAAAATAATAAGGGAGGAAAAAAGAGCTTGTGTTGTTTGCAAAATGGATAGAGAGTGGCGAGCGAGAGGCTTATAATTGATTACTATTGATTTTAGGCTCCTTAAAAAAAAAAAACTTATAATTTTCTTTTAAAAAAAAGAAGCATTAAAGTAAGTAAAGAAGGTTAAAAAAGAAAGTTTATAGTGCAAAAGGTAGTTAGGGTATAACTAAATAAGAGATGATGCATTAATTAGTTTGAAGTTTTTTTTTTTTTTTTTTTTTTTTTTTTTTTTTGTCATTTACTTTAAAGAAAAAAGAAAAATGTAGTGTAAGTGTAGAAAAGTGGAGTGTGAAAATCACCTCCCATAAAGGGGATATTCATAACAGTTTTATAATTCTAAGCATACGCGTTTGGGGGCATTTATGTAATTCAATAATTAAAAACTCTTAGTTCGTTCTTGAGGTCTTCTGTTAACACACGCACGCTGCTAATTGCTCTATCTCTCTCGTCTCTCCTTTTGGGTTTATTTCTAGGGTTTAATAGCAGCTTTCAGAAACCCTAGAATCTGTTTGATTAACAATGTCGGACTACCTACCGGAGGAAGTGACAATGGACATTTTGGCAAGACTGCCAGTGAGAACTCTTATGCAAATCAGGTGTGTCTGCAAATATTGGCATTCTCTCATCGCTACTAATAATTAGGTAATCTTTTACCAATATCGGACCACTCAGTTGAACAACATCAACACCACTCACCTACTTCTCATTAGGAACAATACGTACACGTCTTAGAAAAGAACTATTTTCGCTGTATCTTGATAACGAAGCTCTTACTGCTTACCATTTGAATATAACTAATCCATTTATTTCAGTGAGTGCATTAAACATGCACAAAAAAAATATTCTTACAATGATTTTATATTTTTTTAAAATTTTAATTTTACATTACTGATTCTCCCCATCATATTTCTTACTTTTTGAGATGGAAAGCCAGAGTTTTGTATTAGAATTTTGTTTAAGTATTAGATAATATAGCTAATCCATTTATTTCAGCGAGGGTATTAAACATGCAAAAAAAGAAAAAATTCTTATAATGATATTATATTATTTTAAAATTTTTATTTTACATTAATAGTTTCCCAAAAAATTCTTGGCTCCACCCTAGTTAGTTAGTTATATTTTTTTAATTTATTATTATTATTATTATTTTTAAAAAGGGTCATTTTGGTCAAATAAAAAGACTTATAAATCTTAATATTGTACTTTAGTGATTTAAATGAGTCAATTAAGATGTGGGACAATTACGTACTCTTATCATGGTTAGGGGTGTTGTTGTTTAAATTTGCAAATTTGGGAGCAATTAAATCGCACTCTCTTTAAATTGTATCTATTTGTCTTTATTGCAAAATAAGAGACTGTGAGTGCAAATTACCCTTATTTATTTATTTATTTATCAGATATTTTGATATTCTCACCAGAGCGCTACCTATGGTATACTATTAATTACTTTTAATTATCAATACATCCTGTCAAAATAATGGTTTCACAATTCTAAGCATACGCCGTTTGGGGTCATTTATGTAATTCAATAATTTAAAACTCTCGGTTTCGCTCTTGAGTTCCTCTGTCAACACGCACACTGCTGATTGCTCTCTATCTCTCTCTCTCTCTCTCTCGTCTCTCCTTTTGGGTTTATTTCTAGGGTTTAATAGCAGCTTTCAGAAAATCTGTTTGATTAACAATGTCGGACTACCTACCGGCTACCGGAGAAAGTGACGATGGGCATTCTGACAAGCCTGCCGGTGAGAACTCTTATGCAAATCAGGTGCGTATGCAAATATTGGTGTTCTCTCATCCCTAGTAATAATTTCGTAATCTTTTACTAATATCGGACCACTCATTTGAACAACATCAACACCACCCACCTACTTCTCTGAGAAAAGAACTTTTTTCGCTGTATCTTGATAACGAAGCTCTCACTGCATACCATTTGAATATCAAAAATCGTCCAATCACAAAAAATTCTCCGTATTTCACCATTCTTGGTTCTTGCAATGGATTGGTATGCCTTAACGAGTATACACCGAGCAGCACTAGGAATGTTTTATATTTGTGGATTGGTTAGAATTTCTTATGTTTCTAGTGGCCCTGAGGTTGACATTTATTCTCTTGAAGAGGGCTGTTGGACAAGAATAAGTGTTTCTGGAAAATCCGTTTTGATTCATCTCATGCTTCTCTCAATGGGACCATCCACTGGATTTCCGAGCCCGGTGATCGTTACCCGTTCATTGTGTCTTTCAATTTGGGTAGCAAGGTTTTCTCCTCCATGGACTTGGAGTTTTTCAAGACTCACTTTTTGTGTTGCATAATGATCCTCTGGTAGGCAATATCTCAATCAGGGTGATGAAACAATACGGTGTTCTGGAGTCGTGGACCAATCTGTTCACTTCTGATTTTGGTAGAGGAGCTTATGTGAGATTTATTGGCTTGAAGGGGAATGGTGATGTTCTTCTTACAAAAAATGAGAGGCTAATTTCAGTTGACATAAAGACTCGAAAGGTCAAGTATCTTGGGGTACATGGACATGCATTTTGTGTCAATACTTGCACAGAGAGCGTAGTCTTAATCGACAAAGTAAATGGAGGCGTTGGGGAGCAAGCATGGTATTCTCAGAGGCACCATGAATTAGGATTAGTGTGCTCTTGGATTCGGATTAGATTCCACAAACAATGACTATAAAGTGGTTAGAATTGTTTACCTCTATGATAGCATTGTTGCGATTGACATTTATTCGCTTAAGGAGGGATGTTGGAGAAACCTTAGTGTTTCTGGTCCCGTACTCCCTCTCTGTTGTGATTCATCTCAAGTTTCTCTCAATGGGACTATCCATTGGCTTTCCGGAGGTGGTAATTTTCCTGGCCCGTTCATTGTGACATTCAATTTGGGTACTCAGGTATTCTCTTTGATGGAGCTACCAAGGAGTCTAGTTTATAAAAAGGCACCACGTAGGTTGTCTATTGCAGTGTTTCAAGACTCACTTTTTGTGTTCGAGAATGATTATTATGGCAAAGTATCAATCTGGATGATGAAACAGTATGGTGCTGTGGAGTCGTGGACCAATCTGTTTAGTCTTGATTTTGATAGAGAAAGTTCTGTGAAAGTTATTGGCTGGAAGAGGAATGGTGAAGTTCTTTTGACTAAAGATGAGGAGATGGTTTCAGTTGACATTAAGACTCAAGAGTTCAAGAATGTTGGGATGCGTGGATATGATGAGCCATTTTGTGTCAATGTTTACACAGAGAGCTTAGTGCTAATTGACAAAGTACATGGAGGCTTCGGTAAGCAAGCACGCTCTTCTCTGTTGCAGGCACCAAGAACAGAGTTTGAGGAACCAAGAAAATTATAAGAACCAAGAAACAATAGAAACAGCAGGCAAGATATATATATGTACCCCACTTTTTTTTAATCCTATTAGTAGTCCTTCCTGCATGACATGTATATGAATGTCAAATGCTAGTTTAATGACATATCTGTGTGGTCATGGTCAATATAAAGTTTGTGGTCATGTATCTCTACTAGTAAAGAGTAGTAGGTTTTAGTTGTCTTAGCACGTGGAGTATTAGCTAAAGTTTCAATGTTGATTTTGTTGTTACCTCGGTTGGTTTAACTACTTGGACAGGGATGCAGTTAACACTTTAGAGTGATGATGTACTTAGCTCCACTAATGGTTCATTTGTGACTAATTTTCATTTCGTATGAGACTTGACCTGGATTATATTCTCTTCTTACCTGGAATGATTTTTATATGATTGAATTGGCTAGCATGGGGGAGAAAGCCATTTTGTTTGTTCAATAGCTTCTTCATGCCTTGTTGAAAATGTATTTTGTTAATACTCCCTTTTATTTTATTTTCTTTTAATGCCATTTTCTGCCATGAATTTGTTGTTGTGTGCGCTAAATCGTTGCGGATAACTTTTAACTCTTATATACTTTGTGTGGACTTGCATTGCACTTTAACTTTGATGCGCTTATCTGAATAAGAAAATAAAAGTCTATTTTACTATAATGTTTGGCCTTATTCTAAAAGCAATAATCAAGATCACAACAAGGTGTGATTTATATTTTCATATGGGGTATGTAGTAACTCAGGCCAGAAGACCTCCTTATTGTTTGATTCTTGGCTTTCACGTGGCGCTGTTGTTCTTTGAGAGGGTCATAGAGTTAGTTATTTTCGACTTTGGTATTCCTAAAGATGCTCAAGTTGGCTGACATTATATCCGATAGAGGGTGGGAATGGCCTGAATTGCATGTGAGATAATATTAGGGATATTGGTTCTTTGGTTGCTCAAACACTCTGTACCTTCTAGGATAGGGAATAATGATGTTGTTTGGTCCAGCTCCAATAAGCCCTTCTCAGTTAAGGATGCTTATGAAGATGTCAGACTCAACCATAACTTGTGGGGCTGTTTGATTTAAGGGAGGTGTTCCAAAGCACTGTTTCATCCTCTGGCTTGCTGCTAAGGATAGACTAAGCACTATGAGCAAGCTCCTTCAATGATGTATGTCTCAATCAGACCGATATATCCTTTGCAGAAGGAATGCTGAAAGTGTTCATAATCTATTCTTTATAAGTCAGGATGCCTTGATCCAAGAGTCTGTTGCTATTGCTGTTCGAGATTCTCGAATGGAGCAATCACAAGTGTGAGTGTAAGAGGAATTGGTACCATCAAGTTTGCAAAATCTCCACATGATTTGGAGAGAAACAAACTCTGGAAGATACTCTAATTCTTATTTGGATGAATTCTCTGTGTCTCTTCAAATTACAACCCTATTAGACTTAAAATGTTGTCCTTTCCTGCAAGTAGGTTCAACAGGCATACTGTTGGATACATTCCTTTCTGGAATGTTTGATTCTTTCTGTTGGTTTGCTGTTGTGCTGTGGTTAGTTCTTGTTTGTACTATTGGGGGATGTCCTTTTCAATTCTGTGCTGTGTTTTCTTGAATAAAACAGATAACTTATAAGTAATAATAATAATAATAATATTACAAAATAAAAAATCTAAGTTGGAATAGCTTGAAGTTACATCAGCCTACTTCCCTTGAGGTTTTGAATTATGTAGCAAATTGCCCCCTGCCGTTAAGTACTTCACGGATTATGTTGGCGTAAGCATGAGAAAATTGTTTGAAGGTCAATTTTGCCCTTCTAATGTTTAAAATGATATTTTTAACCTCACTTACCAATATATAGTTAACAATCCATCCGTGACCTATTAACACCAATGTACCAAAATGACCTTCCTCTCACATTTACAAACCGAGAAACATCACACCAAATTCACCACCACCACTGCAAAAGAACACGACACCCTTCTTGGCCTTAGCCTTCAAAATAAAGCAAAGAGGTTACTACATAGCCTTCATCAACACTCCTCTCAACATCAAGAAACTCCAATTTTCTCTCCCTCCAAACACATGACTTGTAGAAACGTTTTTGAAAACCCTGGAATAATAAAAGAGCAAAAGGAGAAAAGCCCTAAATTAATTCCTGAAGATTAACCCTCATTAATCCAAATACACTCGATCTACGGCCCTTGTCTTCAAAAACCCTAGATATAACTAAGAAAACAATACCACTCCTGTAACCTGATTTAAGGTGTTTTTCTCTTTTGCCTAACTGCATTAACTTAAAAAAATTAAAGATTCATATATATATACAACACAAATAGTTGTTGATTTTTATATTATTACTATGTTCTGCTATCCAAATTTATATATTTTTCTTCTATCAAGTAACTTGAAAAAAAAAAAAAAAAAGACTTGGTATGATAATTTTTTTTGTTTGATATGTTCAATGGAAGTTAAAGGAAAGGTGATATCAATGGAAGTTAAAGGAAAGGTGATATCAATCGAAGCTAAAGGAAAGGTGATATCAATGGAATCGGGACAAAAGGTGATATCAGTGGAAGCTGAACGAAAGGTTATATCAGTGGAACGTGAACAAAAGATGATTTCCAGTTCTTGATGGTGTCCTCTTCATTTTACTGAGGACTGAGGTCAGTTGCAGCAGGTTTTTTTGCTTCCTCTACTTTGGGGTTTCTTTTGGGATTTCTGGTGGGTAGCCTTGCTGGCTTTGTATTATGCCTTTGGCTTTGCTTGTCCATTTTGGAATAAACAACTTAACTTCAATAAAAGTCATATATTGCCTCCATATAACTTTGGTGGAACAATTTGATTGCTTTTTTAATCTGTTTACCTAGCGAATGAAAAAAGAAGAAGGTGGCGGGCAGGCATTTTAAATTTGATTAATAGTCAAAATTAACATTAATAGTTTAAATTTGGTGATTACCTTTTCAAAGGTTATGGTAAGGGTTTCAGCTTTTCCTCCCTTCTAATTGTTCACTGGTAGAGACTGGTTTGGTTTAAGCCTTCTATCCCTTGCCATTATTTCATTCTATCAGCCTTGTGAAACCCCATCTCTCACACATACACATGAATATATTCGATAAAATTTAATTAAAGGTTGACAATCAATTTATCTTCATGTATTTATAAAATTTTGCACAAAGTTACACACATAACCCAAACACAGTTAAAAGCAGGGTACACTAGTTGATTGTAGACAATCTAAATCAAGCTGAGAGGGACCAACTATCTGCATAAAAAATGTTGGGCAACATTAGTATTTCACTGTCTCCTAAATGTTCTTGATTCTGGAGGAGTTGTGTAGCAAAATCGTTCAACCAATTGCAATCTTCTTCTGGTTGCGTTGATACTGTTTTTCCATCAAATTCAATTGCTTGTGTGCTGAGGTTGCTGCAGTCTTCAGCTTGCATTAGTACTGTTTTTCCATCAAATTCAATTGCTTGTGTGATGAGGTTGCTGCAATCTTCAGCTTCCATCAGTGCTGTTTTTCCATCAAATTCAATTGATTGTGTGATGAGGTTGCTGCAGTCAAAATCGTTCAACCAATCCATGCAATCTTCTTCTTCTTCTGGTTGCGTTAGTACTGTTGTTCCATCAAATTCGATTGCTTCTGTGATGAGGTTGCTGCAGTCTTGTAATATGGGTTCCATTGCATGTGTGATGGTATTGCAGTCTTCAAGTGCCGGAGTTACTGTCACTTTGCACTCCTCCGCTTGCATCACCTTAACTTGGGATTCCAACTTAATATCTTCCTGCTTTTGCCTTTTAATTCGACAAATTACATAGTCTTTGACCTGAGTAACATATCAAATCACTATTTAGAGACTGTTGAATTCTAAAAAGATAAAAAAAAAATATAAGAGACATATATATATATATATACACACACACACTGTACTTACTTTTGCTCTTTGGAGATTAGTGCCGTCAAGATTATATTCAGTCATGCTCCATCCACTCTTGGCCTTCGCCGCCTTAGCATCCGATTTCATTCTATAGGTAAAAGTTCTCTTCCTTCCTATCAAGCCAGTTTCTTGATCATCTCCCTCACCGGTACCAGTAGTACCATCGACATCTTTTATTATAGGTTTAGCCTTGTCTTGCCCCTTCCATGTACCCATCGTCGCCGTCACACGATCAATCCTCGACCCGTTTCCGTGCTTCTTCTTCAACTTGGTGAAAAAATAAAGAACATTCTCTTCCGAACCCTCAAAAAGCTCTGAGGGCTCCTTGCCATAAACGTCACAGTCCTTCACAACACCCTCCCATGGTAGGGCTTCTTCCTTCGCCTTGCACACAAGATACTGAATCAACTCACTGTCGGTTGGAAGAAACTTATAACCAATCAAAATTTCTTCCATATCTTTTTCTCTCCTTTTGACAGGCTTCGTAATGCTTCTGGGCATCAACGCGATGAACTAAGTTTCCACGGCAGAACGGAGATCAAACTTCTGAGAAATTAGACTGATCGTACCTGCGGGCCAGAGAGAGCCGCCGCTTGACTGAATTCTTGGAACCTTCGTTCTTTACAAAACCTAAAATCCTATAGATAATGAGGGCCCTTTTATAGGCAACTTACTTACCATAAAGGTACGCCTCGCCGCCTCCAATTTAAAAATTAAAGACAAAAAAAAAAAAAAAAAAAAAAATTAATAAAGGTTCGCCGCCTTAAAGACAAAAAAACAAAAAATAAAAAAATCTAATAAATTGACAGCTTTGCGCTCTCACCCCTCCAAGCCTAATATAATAACTTCTGTTTTGCTGTAAGCTTCATTTTTTTTTTTTTTTTTTTCTTTTTTTCTTTAGTTGAGAAATAAAAAATAACAAAAAAGAAAGACCATTTATCCCCGCAACTTTTTGGTCTGTGATACTATCATAAATTAAGATTTTTCTATTGGATCAGATCTCTCATCTCTTCTTCTGTCAATTTAAACAAGGCCAAGTAAAATAGGTAAAAAATTTACTGACGACATTTATTATTATTATTATTATTATTATTTTTTTAAGGAGATCGATGTAGGAGTGTAAAATTTTCACTACAATTAATAATGAAAGAAAGTGGATCGCTAGGTTGAATTTTGGAGCATCAATATCATCAACTTTTTCATAAAATATTATGGTACAAAAAATTAGAAACAAATAATCATCAATCAATTAACGTTAATTGGGTTGTGGATTTAAATGAAGACTTTTTATAATACCAATTTGATTATTGTTGTAATTTGGTTGGATTTGAGCCAACTCATTCACCCGGGGTTAAAAAATATTAATAATAAGTGACATTTTGTCATGCAACTCCTAACGTATGAAAGAAAAATATATATTGCTGTTTTTCATCAAAGATTTTATTACAAAATTTGAATAATTTTTGTAGCAACTTAAAAATTTAGTTACATCATTGTATGACCAAAACTTAAGTGCAATTTATCCTTAGAATATTCATCAAGCCTACCGGCTGTATAGCCCCCACGCTGTGGGTTAAAGATAGTTATCTACAACTTAAACATTTTTCAGATGATGACATCTCCAGATTTGGTAAAATAAATAAAGACACCCCAACATAAAATTTGATAAAAGTACTTACTTGTCTTTGTCTTCTGAATTGACCCATGTGAAGTATTAAATTATTTTTATAATCTCGTATTAATTGACCAAAATGACCCTTAAGAGTGAAAAAACAAGTAAGAAAAATGTGACATGTTGTGTAAATAATGTTTTAGTAAACAATAAGAAATAAAAAGATTAGTTTATGTGTGATTACTTTAAAGTGATATTTAATATGACTATTAAAAATGGTCTTTTACTATTTAATATATTACTACGGAATAATAATAAAAATATATTTAAAAGTCATATTTCTTAATTTTGAAATGGAAAATCAAAGTTTTGTATTAAAATTTTGTTTAAGTATTAGATAATATAACAAATTTATCTATTTCAGCGAGCGCATTAAACATGCAAAGATATAATTTTCTTATAATAATTTTATATTATTTTAAAATTTTAATTTTGCATTACTAGTTACCCCTTTAAAAATTCTTGGCTCCACCCTTGTTTGTTTGGCGGTCACAGTGGTGGAGTTTGGTGTTTGTTTGTTTTTTTTTTCGAAGGGTCATTCTGGTCAAATAAAAAGGCTTATAAGACTTATAAATGTTAATATTATACTTTAATCGTTTAAATGGGTCAATTTAATAGTCTGAGATGTTGTTGTTCAAGTTTATAAATTTAGAAATAATTAAATCACACTCTTTTTAAATTGTAATTATTGTATCTACCTATCTTTATTACAAAATGAAGAAAATGTGAGTGCAAATTACCATAAGGGGGCTCCCCTATAGTATGGTATTAATTACTCCGTTTTTCACCATTATTGGTTCTTTCAATGGATTGGTATGCCTTAACGAGTATACACCGAGCAACACTAGGGATGTTTTATATTTGTGGAACCCCTCTATTGGGAAATTCATAGTACTTCCAGAACCTCGCATTACCTGTTGTGATCCTGCTCTTGGATTCGGATTCAATTCCACAACTAATGACTATTAGGTGGTTAGAATTGCTTATGTTTCTAGTGGCCCTGAGGTTGACATGTATTCTCTTAAAGAGGGCTGTTGGACAAGAATTAGTGTTTGTGGTACCATACACTGTATCCGTTTTGATTCATCTCATGCTTCTCTCAATGGGACTATCCACTGGATTTTCGAGCCTAGTCATCGTTACCCGTTCATTGTGTTTTGCAATTTGGGTAGTTAGGTTTTCTCTTCCATGGAGCTACCAAGGTGGCTACATTTTATGTCTCTTGAGTTTTTCAAGACTCACTTTTTGTGTTGCATAATGTTTCTTTGGAAGGCAACATCTCAATCAGGGTGCTGAAACAATACGGTGTTGTGAAGTCGTGAACCAATCTGTTCACTCCTGATTTTGGTAGAGGAGCTTATGTGAGAGTTACTGGCTTGAAGGGGAATGGCGATGTCATGTATCTTGGGGTACATGGACATGCATTTTGTGTCAATACTTGCACAGAGAGCTTAGTCTTAATCGACAAAGTAAATGGAGGCTTTGGGGAGCAAGCATAGTATTCTCTATCGGAGGCACCAAGAACCAAGTGGGAGGTCTTCTCTATTGCAGGCACCAAGAACCGAGTTAGAGGAACCAAGAAAATTAGAAGAACCAATGTACAATAGAAAAACGTACGATATGGTCACCGAGAGGTTATTACATGGTCTCGGACGAATTACCAATGGACACATAAGCAATTGTGTCAGAAATGTGTAAGTTTTTTTTTTTTTGACTTTTTGCTTACACGTCCAATATTAATTGGCCGGGACCATCTAAAATTTCTCTATAGCCACTTATTGGTCATTGTTCTAAGCCTATTAGTAGTTCCTGCATGACATGTATATGAATGTCAGTACCAGCCTTGCATAAAAAATACCTCTTTTAAATGCTAGTTTAATGACATCTCTTAGTGGTCATGATCAATATAAATTTTGTGGTCATGTATCTCTACAAGTAAAGAGTAGGTTTTAGATGACTTAGTGGAACATTAGCTACATTTTCAATGTTGATGGGAATGATTAATACCTATATTCTCTTCTTAATGGGAATGATTTTATATGATAGAAGTGGTTGGCATGAAGAAAAACAACCATTTTTTTTTGTTCCATACCATGTTGAAAATGTATTTTGTTCATAGTCCCTTTCTTTTCTAATTCTTTTTTTGGGTTAATTCCAGCTACACCCCCTGACATTTGCCCATATTCTACTTACACTCCCTCTATGTTTCAATATTCTACCAACCTCCCTTAAGGTTTTGGTTTGTGTAGCAAATTACCCCAGCTGTTAAGCAACTCACGGTGTGTGCTGATGTCAGCATCAACAAATTGTTAAAAAGTCAATTTTAACCTTCTAATGTCTAAAATGACATCTTTAACCTCAGTTCACCAATACGCAATTACAAAACTACCCTGAATTAACTCAAGGAATACCCTACCTTTCACTTCTATATATATATATATATATATATATATATATATTCATATATCATCTTCTTCCTTTCACACAGACCCATTAATTTTTTTTAAAAAATAAAATTTTATTTTATTTTAATTTCTTTTTAAATTATTAATTAAATTAAAATTTTCAGTTTGCCCATGGGTCAAGGCTTATATAATAGTTGAAGATGCAAGGAATTCATTTCCATTTTCTTTCTCTAGAATTCTTACACTTCAACAGAATCAATCCCCTTCTCTATCCATTACTTCTCATATTTATAGATACTTACACACACTAATGGACTACTAGATCCGGGCCCGTTCCTCTGTGGGTTTTGGTCATCTTTGATGGGCTATTTGCGTTCGGCCTATATGGCAGTACCAGCTGCTCGGACCGGATGCCATGTTCGCGGGTCATATCCGGCCCATATCACTTCTGGCCTCCTCAACTGCCCCCATAATTACTCATTCTTTAATAAGGGGGTAATTATCAAAGGCGTCTCATCATGACATTGACGGCTCGAGAAACTCTTATGGGGGAATGGGCGGTCGGATCCGGAATCAATGTTCCGGGGTTCGATAAATTTCTCGCCTCCCTGACGCTTCGGCACTCGGGTCCACTTCGCCTTTATAAGGCTCTAGAATGCCACTTCATGCCTTTTTACCGTCTCCATCTCTCTCCATCATCAGTCAAATCTCTTGCTCATCTTTTTAGAACAGTGCTAAATTTCATCCGGTAAATTTCTTCAAGAGTCATTCTTCCAGCGATCTTGCAGCGCTCTTTGCTGCTTTCTACCCCAGAGGTTAGTCTTGTTCCCTTTTACTTTTGGTAGACTTCTTTTTACTCTTTTAGATCCTTCAATCGCTTCCACCATGGTTGTAGATCTAGATGTTCTTCGTATGAGACTTAGACTTCCTGACAACATCCAAGTTAGGGTTTGCCCTAGAGATGTTAATATTATGACCGGTGCCGGCCTTCTTCCCGGCGAGGTTTTATTTACTAACCTTCAATTGAATGTCGTTAGGTTCCCTCTGCATCCCTTCTTTAATTATGTTTTCAATAGACTGGGGATATCCCCCCTGCAGGTAAACCCAAATTTCTTTAGAATCATATCCGTTATGTTACTACTGATTCGTGACCGAGGTCTGGATCTTGACCTCATAGATCTTCTTCTTTGCTATAAGGTCAGTAAGATCCGAACTGACGAGCCATTCTACCACCTTTACCCGATCGATAAGATGTCCATATGTATGGATACAATCAAATCTGAAAAGGGTTGGAGGGATAACATTGTGGGTGTTAGTGGGGCCTGGTCTTCGCCGGCTACAGAGGATTACCCAATCCCGAGCGCCTTTGGCGTCTGTTCTGTCTCCTCGTATAAGAAATTCAAATCTCATAAAAATGATTGTCC